TCAGAGTTTTCAAGCGATGAGCTTCGAGTCAACAAAATCATCGACCATAACTCTTATTATGGCGTCGTATTTGGAAATGGAGAGTTGACAAAAATTCCAATTCAGGAATGCTTCACTGATTATGTGTTGTCCCATCAGGCGGAGATCTTCGAGATTGTGAAGAAGGGTACTAAACCTATGAGTGTAAGTAGTACAGCCATTTAACATAAAAGGATGGTCGGTCCATTTCACCTAAATCTGATAAGATCGGCTCCTTAAATTCTCAATTACTTAAGTCCAAATCCGTCGCGTTTCATTGTATCTATTTGTTTGAGTTGAGTTCACATGTTCGTCCGATGTTATTTACACAAGTTTTGCAAAATTTTTCTCGTAATGTCCGTTACGGTCTACTACTTCTTCTTAACTGAATTAGATTTACACAAGTTTCATGCGAGAAGAGCAGATAGCTTAGTGTCACTATTTGATTTTCGCGGTCACTCAGTTCCACAAAAAAATTGAAATGTCAAAGAAATATAAGTCACCTGATAACAGTTTTTTCGTAATACTCGTAACTTGATAATTTTATCATAAGACATATTTTTCAAGTGAATTACCTAGGTCATAGCCACCAACATTTTACAAATATATTGACTCATCTCTGTGCCAGTTTTCGATCGTCACGCGCTCCTCCATGTTCACTATTGCCCCTTTCAACACAAACACTCCCCCACTTCATCGAAGGCCCGCAATATTTATGTAGTTTGTTCTTGCCTTGATCAAGCACAAGATAGCTAGAGCATTAATTCGTCTGTTAGCATAAACGAAAACACTCAATGACCAGCTTTAATCTGTTCCATCAGGAGCCCGACGGGAACGCAGCTTTAGAACGTTCGTCTGGCTTGTTTGATGCTAATACTCCTCTGTTTCAACGTTCCATGTACACGTGCGTTGGTCTGTTGCTGCTTTTCGCGACCTGTGGTATTATCTGGGATTACGGTTATATGAGGTATTGGAAGAAGAAAGCTGAAAAGGGTACGAACATTTATTGAAGTCGATCATGTATTTATTTCTTAGGGAGGCGTTTCGTTAAAAGCATGATAGTCTAATATATGGTCGGACACTTCATATATACATAGTTGGACTCATCCGATAGATGGTTCGACACATCCGATAGATGGTCAGACACATCCGTTAGATGGTCGGACACATCCGCTACATGATCAGACACATCCGATACATGATCAGACGCATCCGATTCATGGTCGGACAAATCCGATACATGGTTGGACACATCCGATACATGGTCGGACACATCCGATACATGGTCGGACACATCCGATACATGGTCGGACATATCCGATACATGGTCAGAAACATCAGATACATGGTCAGACACATCAGTGAAAACTACTGTATACATAGAAGTTAGTAGGACAGTGAAAACTACTGTATACACAGAAGTTAGCGTCTCCTGTCCCTGTATCGTCTCGGTGTTGACAACTGTCAAATGTATTAAAATATAATCCTTTCTAAAATGAAAAACATTTTTTCAACGTGCCTCATGCAACATTGTTTCTTACATTCATCGTAGAAAAAGTCGGGCGCAGCAACACGATGGCACTTATTGATCACTTAAAATTCAATTTTTTCCTCCTTGGAAATCAACTCAAAATTCTTGAATCTTGTAACCGATGTGAAAGAAAATATTTGCTGGCTTGGATCACTACACGGACTGGACTTTTGCGGAAAATTTTCTCTATATATTTTCCCCCTTTTTTTCCCACGAGTTTTGGGTATGACTCTTGATTTGTTGCTGTGTTTCAGCCGGAACATCTCACAAACATTTACTGCTTTCCACCAGATGAAAACTTCTGTATTGTTTTCGTATTTTAATTTACTCCAAATGTCCAGTTATAAATCATCTACCACTTACAGGTGCCTTTACCACCATGAATGACTCGAAAAGTAAGACGATTTGAGGATGTTATGATGTATTCCTTGTTAATGTTCTGCCACTCGAGGAGAACATAACAATTTGCATGCTACAATGGCGGTGATACAACGTGTAACACTCAATCCCCACAAATTCAAACCACTCCGCATTTTGTTTCATGTTGCAGAGGAACTCGAGCTGCTTGGTATTCCTGCCTATGAAATGGCGAAAAAGAACCTGGATATGCTAGATGCCTTGATGGAGGAAGTGCAAGACTTCTACGACAACTGGGAGAAGAGAATGGACGAGATTGTGGATAAACATGAGATGCAGCTAAGGCTACAAGCAAAAATGAAGAACTTGGAGGAAAAAGCGACTGAAAAATCGTCTTACGAAAATGAACTTTATATGAGTAGATGAGTTGTTTCACTGTCTCATTCCTCCATTATCACTGTTTCCATGTTTTTGCATTGTTCCACTTTACTTCACACACGTAGCTGAGCAATCATGCTAAAAGTAGTTCATTTACTTCGTAGACTAATCCTGTTTAAACTTGCCGTTAGATTACGAATTAGCTCGATGGAGCGCCACCTCTAACCCTCTTGTACCGAAAGCGAATAAGTGAAAAGCGCCGTATCTAGCCCTAGGAAGGCGATATTAGAAGAGTGCAACTTTTCTTAGAACTGTCTCGAAAAATTATTTCAAATGGTTGTTACTCCGTTCTCTTCCATTTTTACTGACATAACGAAGGGAGCAATGACGATGAAATACTTCCAAACAAAGAGCAACCCAATGCGAAGGAAAAGCCCAGTTTTTGAGAAAAACAAAACAAAACAAAACAAAACAAACAAAAAGATTCCCAATTACTTTGAAACATTTGAAAACATTTAAAAACATTCGAAAAGATTCAATTTCAATTTCAATACTTCTTAGTCACGATTTTTGCTTAGGAATACGAGGATTTTCAGATTAGCACCGTTCTCAAGTTCACGTTGACCCAAACTGCGTCGCAACGCCTCTGCACTTGATCGAGTAAAATGTGGCATGAGTAATTCAAACGTTCGACATTTGGAATCTTCATTGAGTCGACCTGGCAGTTTACGCGACCTTTCAGATTAAAGGATTACCGTAGAAAGTTACCTAGATTTGGCATGGGAATGACGTTTGACAGCTAAATCATTCGCATCATTTATTAAATAATATGTCCTTAATAATCAGTGACACTTTTTGCACTTCATTTACGCTAGCGATCAAGTCTCTTCTGAACGATGAGCAAGACGTAGGCTGTACAGTATTGCATAAAGAAGGATACACACACTCCTGCACTCTTGACGATTATTTTTTAATATTTTACAATTTGTGACAGTAAAGTCGTTCAAGATTATCTCAAAAAGGTAGTCTTGTAGGTTAGAGAACGATGTAATGTCTGGTGTCTAAAATTAATCATAATTTGCCGCATTCAACGACATTCTTACTTGTCGCAAAAATTCAAGATAGACATAATTTTGTTATTGTCTACATTCTCGTCGGAGCGTAAAGATATGGACAGGGTTGAGTTTCGAAGAATGCGTCCCAAATTTTTACGTACCTTGTTTATCATGGTATCCTTTCAAGTTATATATGTATTAACAATAATTCGTCGCTTCTTGAATTTTCCTAGATTTTTTTAATTGTTTGTTTAAGGTTCTTTGAAAGCAGCCCGCTTGGTAAATAAAAAAAATTTGTTGTTTCAAAACATTCAAGAACAATATAATTATTTATTCCATTGACTATAAACCGTTCTTACAATCATCCCGTGCATCTTTTCGTTATTTCATCGCTTGCGTCATGCAACAAAAATATGAATCTTCTTAATTCCTAGGTCTACGGCTGCAAAGATTCCCGTCGCAAGGTTGTAACGTGTTTCAAAATGTAATGTTTCGCGCTGTTTACATCTGTCATACAAAGCAAATAATAGAATACAAATACAAATTCAACATCAACTGTTTTTGTACCTTACATTAATTTACAAGATACAGAAAAAGATATATTTTATTTAGAGAGTACAGGCTGCACTTAATAATCAGAGTAGCTTCACTAAATCTATTTGCCTCAATTCTAATCAAAGAACCCGTGCCAACGAAACAAAGATGCAATTTTAGACGAAAACGGCGTTGCATTTCCTAGATTGGACAAGATCGAGAACATTCGGCGGATTTTCGCCATTATTTAATCGAGGAAAGCGGAATTTTCCAAAAGTGCTGTCGTCATGCCGACGTTTTTAATTTTTTTTTCCGGCACACAATTATTGTTATGTTTATTTAACGATTTTGGGGCAAACGTCAAAAGTGAGTACAAACGAAATAAAAGGGACCAGGTTATCTGTTTTCTCATCTCTTTACACTGCAATTGCATGGGTCTAATTAAAGAACGGGTACAAAACGAAACAAAAAAAGGTTGTTATAAAAATAAGTTGCTCTTGTTCGGAACACCTGAAACTGCGAGTTAGTTTTTTTCCCCTCTACAATCTAACAGCGTTTAGATGAATTAAGAATTGACTGTATGAAAATTACCAAGTATAACACAAGTATTTACTTAATCTTTGAGACCGAAAAAGCGTCAGAGGCATATGTTATAGACATTCTCTTAAACCTTTGTATTTATTTTTGTTTTCCTAAGGTAGGCATTTTTCCATAAGTCATAGTATCCTCCAACCGCGATTAAATTTCAATATTTGAAATATATTAAAAAATGTACCTTCATAAATTGCTGTTGGCCAAAAATATTACCTTTAATTCATAAAATTTCATGTAATATTTTAGCGTTTAGTTAAATTCGATTGCATTCGACGACCAGTTTTGTAAGAAGGTGTATGACAGACTTTTTCATTAATTTGTGTTGCGGAGTCATCCTTCTGTTTATATTTAGTCCATATCTTGAGCACGTAGGACCAAAGACATCCTTGACAACGCTTTATTCAAATTCTACTCAAACCCGTTGATGTTTAATTTGTTGTTCAATTAGAGCGAGCTATGATTGGCTGGCGCAAATGACATCCTGTCAGGTGGTAATAAATTATTCATGCACGAAATTTGCATTTGCACAGAATTTCCTCGAATCGAGAGCGAAAATTCAAACCGATCTTAAACCGAATGTAGCCTTTAATTCTTCACGTATTTCTGAGACTCAACCGGTCGCAAAAAAAGGGAAGAAATAGAGAAAAAGGCAAGCCTAAACTTGAGCAAGTTGAACATGCTATGCGAAACTACCTTCGCCTGGATGAAATTCGTTTTGGTCAGTTGCATGGTTTCGACATTTTCCTCCAGTTTAAGCTGAAATTGGAAAATTGCTTTTACCTTCAGGTAACCAATCCTTTCTTGAACCTTTTTTTTGCAGCTTTTGAAGCTAGTATTGGCATTATCTCTGAGCACAGAAGCGGAAAATTACAAGCAAACACTAACAAGTAAGATTCTTTCATTAGTTATATGAAGCATTTTAATGTCGCTATTGAAGTTGGTAATATTCTGTGGTAACGAAACGCCAAGACATATCAGTGAATTGATTATAATTTAGCTGTGTTTTGTTTTAAAGATAATTTTTTTTCAGTGGGAACGATAATGATCATTTTGCAAAGCGATATGGATTGTTTCGCAGTTTATTCGCTGCTTTAATTTGGGAGGGGGAAAATGTTTCGAAATGTTACGCAGTAGCCATTATCAGCCAAATAATAATTATCAGAGTCAAATTATCCACAATGCTATAAGCACTACTAAAAACAGCTTAAAGGCCCTCGACACTTCCATTCAACTGTTGTCACCATAACTGAAGCCACAATTCATGAGCAAGGAATAGAGAATGTTTCTAGACATTTTTCCACCTTCTTTAAGAAGAACGAAGTCCTCTCTGCTACTAAAATTTTACTCATAAAAGTTTCACAAACACAAAAAAGATCTCAAATTTTTGCAGTGTTTTTATTACTCTGTGCAAACGGAAATATATGTTTTCTTCGAATCTTGGTAAAATGTAAACGGAATTGAATAGATCGCGCAACTTGTTGTGAAACACAACTTTGTAACATTCAATATTTATTTGGCCTGCAGAAGAGAGAAGATGAAATTCTACAGTGGATAAATTATAAATTTGTCCCCGAAAAAATTAATTGCTGTGATCATTTAGATCTATATTATCTGACACGAAATTTATCATAAGTTACCTTAAAACTAAGAAAAAAAAAACCAAAGATGAGTTATCTTAGGAAACGAAAACATTTATAAGAAAATGATGAATTATTTTCTCGTCTTGCCGCAAGAACTCGTTGAAAAAGGCCGTGACATGACATCTGTTTGTTTCCGGGGCTCAATGATTGGTGGAAAAGTTGCAGCAGGTGTTGCAAGCTGAGTATAATATACGAACGAAAATAGCTAGAGTAATTTATTTTAGAAGTTGCAAGAAAAAATTTTTGGTCATTCGATCTTTACTGGTAAAGAAGTAAATAGAAGATATTGTGGGGATGACGTTGAAATTCGACAAAGATGTATCGTATGTACGATATATCGTTCAAATTTGGGGGAAAATACTAAGACTTTTTTTCGTCCGACACTTTTTCGAAACTGTTGTATGTTAATTTACCCTAATGACTTAAGATTGGTAAGTTAGGGTGGCGATATGCTGGAAACGTCTAAACTTTGATGAAGTGAAAAGCGACCAAGCAAAATTAATTGATTAATTTCGCAAAAGCCCTCATCTTGATCTGATCTCCGTTATTTCAGCGAGCATTAGCTTAAGTTTACCAAGACTTCTTTGTAAAATATTGTGAAACTGAACTTGCGTGATAAGGCCAAAAAATTCGCTAATTCAAAACGACATTGTGACAGTTGGCTGTTTTGAGTTTCTTTCTGAGATCACCGGCTGAGGACTAAGCGTTTTATTATGAATAGCATGCAGGAGTTTCGGGATTAAAGATGGCTAGTCTTAAAAAAAATCTCGATTATAAAAAAGAAGAGAAGTTTCTGTTAAGAATTTCCCGAAATAGCTCCTCGACCAGAATTGATCTCCAAGTAAAAAAGTGAGTAATTCATCCGTGGCCTTCCCGCCCTTGAACAACACAAAGTGTCTTGATTTCACATTTTGGTTTCGTAAAAGACATTTAGGCCAAGAAGCGTACCAGATTTGAAACGCACATGCAGAGCTAGTGCTTTACTCGTCAAGTTTTCTAATTTAAACACGCCCTAGTTTCCTTTACGGTCGTCCATGATTTTCTGTAAGTCTCTAGCGTCAAGTCCTGTCTCTTTCGCGTTGTTTAGTTTGAACTACATGGTTCTGCTCTCAAAGCACCATGGAGGACATAATGAAAGCCCTTTATGGCAACTGCAGGAATGACTTGCGTTAATGCACAGGTTAAATTTCTTCTGCAAGCAATAGCACGTGCATTGTTCTAGCTTTGATTTATCGTTACTTATTCTATTTTCTGTTAATGGGGTTGTCTCATACGCCTGCTGGATTGTAATAAGGTGGCGTGAAAAGATGACCATGTATGCATCTTTGGATAACTTACATTTTTTTAAAAAATCTTGCTTTTTCAACACCAGGCACATGTGGAAAGGAGGATATCAAACTATCCGATGCAAAAGGAAACTTCACAAACCCCGGAGGATATGAAGGGTATCCGAACGACACAAAATGCATGTAGGTTAATTGATGCACCTTTATTTTCTATAATCTATGAATATGTTCTTTATTCATGTATATATTCACTTTGCTCAACTTCCTCCACTGCCCATCGTACGTTGCACCATCAAAGGCCAGACTTTTGCTTGCAACTCGCTCATTTTTGCGGATTGCTCCCAATTTTTAGAAAAGAGAGAAGATGTAAAAAGGAAACAAATTTACCCTTGCATTAGGACGGGCGTCCATAGTTTAAACTGTAACTATGAATATCAATGGAAAAAGATTTACATAGGATCACTCTTATTAAAATGCTTTATTCTTGGTCTATTTTTCATCATTATCCTTATCACTACCATCGACACTATCCTTATCTTTATAGCTATCGTCATCATCATCCTTAATTTAATTATTATTATCATTATTTTAATACCATTATCATCATTTCCATTTTAATTTATGGAAAGAAATTCATCAAAAAGGTTTCGTTTTGTTGTGCTTTTTGTTTCAGTTGGATCATAGAACCAGGTTATATCTCGACAATTACAGTCACATTCCATGACTTTGACTTGGAGTTTAGTAAGACATGTAAACCCTATGATTCCGTCAGAGTATTAGACAAATGCAATAAATCAAAAACTTGGGAAATGATCGAAGAAGACGTAGAAGGATACTGTGGAAACGGGACGTTTGGCATCACATCTCGATGCGAAAGAATGAAAATAGAGTTCAAGTCTGATGATTCAGTAACAAGGAGGGGATTCAACGCTACCTATGTGGTTCAACGACAGCCTCGTAAGTTTAAACAGTCAGCCCTTAAACCCATTCTACGAACTAAGCAATGCACAAAACCACAGACCTTGATTCTGAATTACTCACGAACGAAATATCCATTGATATTTCCTTCTTCTTTCATTTGTTTCCTCTCTGTTTTCCCTGTTTTTTTCCCCTCGTCTTCCTTGCCAAAATTGCTCCTCCCTCTCTCTCCCTCTCCCCCTTCGTCCGTCTCTCATCTTTTCTCCCTTCGTTACTCTGCTCCTCCCTTCCTTTAATAATAATAATAATAATAATAATAATAAATAATAATCATCATTTATTCAAAGCATATCCTCTTAAAAAGATGTGGCTCTTCATCTGTGAAAGCCCTAAAAAGGTCTTACAAGGAAGACAAAGCACGCGCTTTCAAAAATGTTTTCCCTGAAGTCCGAGCATTTTCTATTCCTCCATCCTCTACACCTTCATTCCTCCGTTCACCTTCTTAGAGCAAAGAAACTACTTCGTGAGAATAGATTCCACGCTATTTCGAGGACTTAGCACCGTTTTACTTGCTGAAGTATAAATGTATATACTACACTATTATGAACTCTAAACAATCATGGAAAATCACATGGCTGTAGGATTTTTACAAGATTCCATTGGAAATAACATCGTTGTGTTATACTCATTAGTTGTTTTGTTATTTTAAATCACAGAGGCACCGGAAATAACATCGTTCTGCATTGAGGGAAAGAAAAACTGCTCAACAAAGATGGAGGCTGAAGAGTTTAGTACCCTGTTATTAACTTGTAAAGCTTCTGCATCTCCTCAGCCAGTATTCAATTGGACGTACCTTGGTACAAACGAATCGAATCCCGAAGAATTTCTAAATAGAACCGAGAACCGCATTATAGATTTTCGTAACGGAACTCTTAAGATCAAAGATTTGAATAGAGGTGACACTGGCTTCTATGAATGCCACGCCGATAACAATGTCGGTCAACCTGACAGTGCAGTAATGTATCTTCGCGTAAAAGGTGAGACAAAAACGCTGATTCTTTACCAAAAAGATAAGTCTTCTTATTCAACAAATTTCTTTCACTTCGAGAGAACGACAGCTATCACCAAATCAACCCTTTAACTCGCTCAACCCTTTAAAACCCATCAGTAATCAAGACATCATTTTTCCTTACAACACCGGTACAATATCAAGCAGAAAAGTGGTGAGAATAGAGAAAGATATTCATTTGGGGAATTACCAGTCGATTCAATACCGAACTCTCCGAATTAGCATGATAAGATTGTATGGCAGAAAGTAGGGAGAATCAGTACCACCAGTCTCCTTTAGCTCGACTAAACTGCATCTACCACACTGAAACAAAACAAAACAAAAAAATATAACAGAGCACATCTTTCCAAAATTCAACTATGTTGAAAAGTCTCGCCTATCATTGAACATTCCATACTGAAACATTTAAAATTTCACCCTTTTAAGACTAAAAATTGTGCAATATGCATAGCGCCAGGATAAGAGCACTCGACTTCCTTCCTTATGCCGCCTGTGCCTTAGCCCTTTTTACTTTGCAGGTTAAAGGAGGCAAATTTTTTCAAAACACTCTTACCTTTGGGCGATCTCCGGTAATTATAGTGCGCCAGTGTGCATAGACATAATCCTATAGAGTGATAAACCTAACCCTAGATTGGACCCAGTTTTCCAGTTAATTGATTCTTCCAAATACGTCGAACACTCTCTTTAAGGAAACCCGTCACCCCGAGATTTCCATAACTAAGGTTATTATTCAGCTAAACGGGACTTTAGCGGATTGTTCCTCCCAGAATATTGATGTAACCTCTACAGATACTGTGGGAACTCTATGATATGATGTTTACACTAACTTTGCTATATCTAGAGTTTCAACCTAATTTAAACATTGGTGTTAATGAACGCTTTCTTATTCTCAAACTCGCAAAATTCAATTGGAATGTTTTTCGCCCTCTGGATTTTTCCTGACTTTGTTTTTTTCTTTGTCTATTTCTTTGTCTGTTTGTTTATCTTCACAGAGAAATGCAAATGCCCCAAGCGTATCATCGCTAATTGGTACGACATCCCACCCTACATACAAGACAATGGACCTGGTCGAGAACCTTCCGGACTATTTCCGCTGCTTCTTAAAGAAATTGTACCGCTTTGCTGTGGGAACTGTTCCGAGGGTGATGGACCATCGGAGATCATTTACCACGAAAAACGTCAACCAAACCTCGTGCGAATAAAATCACTCGATAACCTTGACAAGGAAGACACAATAACGTTTCCTATCAGCGGGAAGAAGGATGAAAGAAATTATCAGAATGATTTTAGGTTCATGCCATTGATTAGTTCACCTGGAGTGGCTTTCATTGTTGTTGATGAACCGCCTGGTTCTTCTGCTAACGCCGTATTCAACTCTGTACTGTCTGGGTGGCCTGTGCTCCTTCTCACTATGTTAATGGCCTTACTGTCTGGCATAATCATGTGGGGACTGGTGAGTAAAATTTGTTCCAATCATTTTATTATTCTCGGAAGCCATATTTATTGCCGAATCCCGGTTTAAATATTTACGAAAGAGTCTTTAGAGTTGTTACTCGTTAGAGTATAATTACAAGCTCTCATAAAGTCTAAAATATGCATAAGCTAATTTCTCTCTCGCCAAGGTATAATAATAATGATAATAAGTCTTTGATTTTAAGATAAACTGCTTACAGCAAAAGTGTAAGTTAACATTGATTGAAACGTGAAAAGCGATTGAAACTATACTAAATAACCCTTATTAGACCTAATTTCATCTATTTCAAGATGACAGAAACTGGAAAAGACATCTATTTATGTCTACACGTTAAAAGCCTCCAGTTATAATCCATGGAAGAATGTTTGACGGAAACTGGAGTTTAGTAGTGTCGGTTCTTCCCGCATCTTTCCTTAATTAGTTCATAGTAATCATCTTCGTCGCTCTGATGTTCTCATCTTTTCAAAGGACACATGGTATAATCCCGATGAATTTCCGAGGTCATTTATCAAAGGAAGTGGAGAAGGCTTTTGGTGGGCTTTTGTGACCATGACAACCGTAGGGTGAGTGTAGTCGTAGAATACAGAAAATGTTCCACGTGTATGACCGAATCCTCGTACTCAGTTTCTGTATTCTGTATCTCCTATCCGAGCTTCATGTTGGGGGCTGTTTTGTGATATTGACTTCTGCATGTTTGATATGAAAACTATGTTCCTTCGGTTTGGAGTTATAATTCTATGAGTTATTAAGAAGCTTGAGAAAACAACTTTGTAGTCAGAATGATTTTAGGGCTTCCAAAATACGATCTATGTCTATGCAGTTTGAGGATCGCTTCAATGGCTGGTGCTATTGTGATGTGTAAATGTCTTAATGATCTGGCACCTGGCTATTTGTTGAACAAACTTTGCACTCGATCCACTATTTCATCAAGTAGAACTGCTGCCGGTGAGCGTGCCTTTAATTATCGTGATGTAATAAACATGAAACAACCTGAAAAAGGACTTGAAACAAAAAGTAGGCACCAAACAGACCCTTCCTTACATTCAGGGTGTTATGAAGGCACTAAACAGGAGTGTCGAAACGTTGGGTCAATGAATTGTAACTTCTCGGTTACACTCATTAAATCTTTAAACCAGAGTAGTATCAAATCATGTCAGACACCAAAAGTTTTAAGAAACGTCGAATAGATAAATTAGTGAGTAATCGAATCTCAACTGATTTCCGTTCTCTCGTTTTCTTTCAGTTATGGTGATCGATCCCCTCGGGGTTTTGTGGCTCGCATCTTCGCAATAATCTGGGTTTTAGTTGGCCTCGTTATCACGTCCATTTTCACTGGTGTTGTGACTACCTCTCTGACAGCCATCACACTGAGTACTGACGTCAAACTCTATGGAACTAAGGTGGGTTTATTCTGCCCTCAATTAAAACTGTTCCCCTTTAAAAGACGTCACCTAAAGCAGTTTGCTCATAGACGAAAAAAATAGTCGATCATGAACTTGACATTCAGAATCTTATCGAATGTTTCAGGCCATATTAGAACCTAGTTTATGTAACGTTACTCTCTCTAATAGTTCAGCGGTAGGTCAACTGACTGAAAAAGCTTGTACAATTAACTGGGTAACTTCACATTTTACCTCTTTCATTTCATTACCAATTATTTTTTGTACCGGTGGTGGAAATTTCTTATGCCGTGTTTTATACTCACCATGGACGTTTTAAAAACAATATATTATTTGAATTATTTTTATGGTCATTTCAGATCGCAGCAGTGGTAAATTCAACCGAGTACCGGCTTGGACTGAACAAAAATGCTAAAATGCAAAGTATGTGTTTAGTTATATAGAGAATAATAGATGGGCGTGCGTAGATATGGAATTTCTCTTCAAGTGTGAGCGCAGCGAACGAGTGAGGTGTCGAGTTGAACACGAGAAGAGAAATTCCATATCTGCAAGCAACCATGTATTATTTTATTAATTTATTAATCATTAATGAAAACGAATAACAATAGTGCGTTGGCGCCTTAAGATGGAAAAATATGTTGAATCATGATTACAAAATCATCAATAGTCGTAATTTTCAATTTACTGACTTTCAGGTAAACGGCGAAAATCGGTCAGTGGCAAATCCTCCAGTTGTCGATTTTAATTCTCAACCGAGAGAAATGCTAACACCAAAGCCACTGAATACGTAACTTTCGGTTTTTCTTCTTGTATATTGGTTTTCTTCCCTTTCTAGGAAAGTTTGAACCTCACTGTCTGTCAGCGATACGGATTTTTTAGTGTTTTAGCCGCCATAATTTGAGAAAGCTCCAACAAACAACTTGTATTGAGAATCGTGAAGGCTTTGCCGTTAATTGATCAACCTGACCGAGTGGCGCCAAAGGCGAGTGACGTGTCAGCAGCTGATTGGCTATATCAACACACGTGAAAAAATACGATATTTTTTCACGTGTGTTGTTACGGCTTTTCTCAGAGCCGGAAATCCCTGTATAACACCGCAGTTTATGTGATAAATCATATTCTGCTATAGATTAAACTACTGGAACAAGAGTGCTTCTTGTGAATCATGGGCTAGTCGGCATGTACATTTCAGTCTGTGCCAGAGTCAGTCATCATCATCGTAGGCACAACACTGGAGGCGATTTTCTATTCATTATATTCACTTGAGGACCCAGCAAAAATATGTTTATCTTGATGACAGAGCGAAGTCGACTTCTAAAACGCGGGCTGACAAATTAAAAACTTTGTTGTGATAGAGCGACCTTGTTCGAAATTCTGAAACTTTTCTTGAGGTCTGTGAAGTGACTGACATAACTTCTCCTTACAATGTCAATACAATATCAATACAATATCAATACAATATCAATACAATGTTAATACAATATCCAGCGGACAAGCGATGAGAATAGAGATTAATATCAACTGGACGATTATTTGTTGGTCCAGTACCAAATTCTCTAAACCAACATTATGAAAATTATAAAGCAGATATTAAGGAGAATTACTGATAAAATCATGTGCGTGAAAGGGTTAAAGTTTTTGTCTCCTGTATCTATACATTCTTCAATATCCAGAAGGGCATTTTGTAAAAAAGTTCTTCGGTATATAAACGATTTGTTATCACAATTACATGGAGTATTTAGGAACTGAGCAATATTTGAAAACTCAATTTGAATTACGCCTTTAACCGAGTATCTACGTTATGCAATTATTACAGGTTTCGATACCTTGCAGTCAATTGTGGAACCTCTGAAGAATCGAAAGGATGACTTAAAGGGCGTGTTAGTTGATACGTACGTCGCTGGAGAAATGAAGGAATTTTCCAGTGAAGAGCTCCGGGTGAATAAGATTATTGACCACAACTCATACTATGGTGTGGTATTTGGAGAGGGACTGCTATCTGCAAAGAATTTCCAAGTCTGCATCGAGGATTATTTTCTTTCCAGACAAGCTGATATCTTTAAGATAGTGAAGGACAATACGAACCCTATGAAGGTGAGGTCTCAGTAGTTTAAGTCAATCTTTCGAAATGTAATCACCATTTTTCAATTATAGGTATAGTGTAGTTTATTTACTTCAACTTATTCTATAATTTATCAAATGGCCACCCTCCCTTCTGCTAAATTTTGACCACATTCATGCAATGAATCCGGTCTAATTGACTGTAGTTGGAAACTGTGAAAACAGATTTAGCTGAGTATGAGATCTCGCACTCTTTCTTTAAATTAATTTGCATGATAGCACAGTCATTGCTTATTTTAATTTGGAGCGAGCCTCTCGTGAAAGTGACTAAATAATTAAAATCTTGGCCTTCATAAACTTGCCTTTCCTTCTCATAGGAACCAAAAGAAAGCGCGGCAGTGGAGCGCTCGTCTGGTTTGTTTGATGCCGAGTCTCCCCTATTTCGAAACGCCATCTACTCGTGCATTGGTTTGCTGCTGTTTTTCACGTCTTGTGGCATTATTTGGGATTACGGTTACATGAGACATTGGAAGAAAAAGGCTGAGATGGGTGAGTTTAGCTAATGTTTTTACAGATTATGTAAATAATTTGTAGAGATATTATGCAATATGATGCAACTTTCATTTGTGTCGAAGGTTATACCCCTTCCAGCCACCTCAGAGGATGTTCTTCCATAATAGATTCCAAAATATTGAACCCTTCTCGAGATGAGTTGGTATTGGAACTGTTTTTCATATATTTAAGATCATAAAAACTGTTTATATTGTCTTGATAAATGATAATGCAATCATTGTAGACTTTCCTTCTCACCAGTTACTGTTTTTCATATATTTAAGATCATAAAAACTGTTTATATTGTCTTGATAAATGATGATGCAATCATTTTAGACTCTCCTTTTCACCAGTTTTCCAGCTCTTTAATGAATTAAAAACCAGATAATATTTTTTGAATGGGTTTTTTTACGCGTGTTCATCCCGTATCTCAGTTGTGTTTATTGCGTACTGTAACGAATGAATGAAACGCGGCAATTATGTAGTCTCCATTTATCTTCTTTGATGATAACAACCATTTTGCATTGTCGTTTATAGATGAACTTGAGCTTCTTGGAGGACCTGGGTACGAAATGGCCAAGAGGAACCTAGACATGATGGATTCACTGATGCAGGAAGTTCAAGAATTTTATGACAACTGGACGAAGAGACTAGACGAAATCACAGAGAAACACGACGAGGAGCAGAGGTTACAGAGTAAACTGAAGAAATGAAAATAAATTGCACTTCTTGTAGAGGAACGATGTAATTTCGAGAAGTTGATAAAATCTTTAGCACAAATGGTTAGTAAGTGAAGTCATAGTAAGAGAATACATGTAGCATACCATTAACTAGTCCTAGTATGTCATTTCATCGATGGATATCGCATGTGGCACAGTATGTGAGTGTGTTTAGTCTAACCTGCCTTCAATGACTGCCTTCACGTCTCTACAACGAAAATTTAATTCTGCACCATTGTTGTTCTTGAAAGACGTGATAGTTGTAAACCTGTTTCATTAAGCGTGAAAGCTTGCTAGTGAGCTGGGACGAGTCCCACTTAGGCGCCCTAAGGGAGGTTGCAATTAAAGAGAGGTGGCTTTAGGTAAATGTAGATTTAAGTGAATTTTGAAGTGTGCAAGATCCATCGAGAGCAATTGCAAAGAAAAACTCTTTGATTGGTTTGTAGCATCCACCTAAATTGGTAACTGGTCATTGACTGCTCAATGAGAGAGTGATCCAAAGTAACCGCGATCGTTTGGTTGATAAATGATCGGTTTCCGCTCGGTGGGTAATCATTGACTGTTCGGAGATCTTTCATTGACCATGGCAAGCCAAAGTACTTGTCGAGAACCCTTTAACACCCTCCCCCCCCTCTTCCATCCCCCTTCCATTGGAACAACGTTTGCTTGGATAACTTTTGATATGGTCTCACTAGGAGATTTTTTGTAAGGCATAAATCCACTTGCACGTAGTAATGATGTACACAGTAACTTTTATTGAAACAATTTAAATGAAACAGGAGGATTAACCACATGCTATCGCGTATAAATTCAGTTGTGATGTGATTTCCGCTACGATTCAACATAAAGCGGTATTTCTCTTTCCAATATTCATCACTGACAGACTGTATATTGCCCCTGTGCTGAATGTTCAGACATTCTGGACAAGCTTACCTGATGTTAAGTTGTTGATGTTAACAAGAAAATCTGAACCGATAAGTAAGGCAAGACTTCTTATCTTGTCCGAACGAAACCCAAGCCTTTGACTTTATATGTAAGTACTGAGCCTATTAAAATTAAAGTTGGAGTGTAACAAAACAAAGACCAGTCCACTCTCGTTTCTTACAGTTTTCTATATCAGTGTGAAACAGTTCGGTGGCGCTAAATGTCGACTGCGCTCCAATTTCAATATTTTATTGGATTCGTCTGACAGTGATGATTTTTCTCATGCAGTGAGTAATCAATTTACTATCACTGTATGCTTTTTGTTATTTAATTTCATTTTATTTAGCTGGATCTGCCGTTACGTAGCTATAGTCACAATAGATAATTGAATAATTCCATCTCGTTTACGTCTCGACTACAAATGAATGTGGATAGTGTTTTATACATTTTATGGACATGAGCATACATCCACGCGTAGTTAATAGAGATGTCTGGATAGGAGAGCCGGCAGAAAGCTAAGATGAAAAAACGGTGCTTCAGCATATATATATATATATATATATATATATATATATATATATATATATATATATATATGTACATATACATATATATATATATTGGGAACACCCTGACAATTCACTCACTTGCGTCTGTTTGCTCGTACTATAACTAAAACTATCTGTCGGGTTTCCAACCAATCATCTCCATAATGATCCAAGGTAGAGCAATTTTCAATTGAGTTTCGAAAGTGATCCTGGAAAGCTTTGGTTTTTTGCTTTACATCTCTTTGTGATTGGTCCATATAACGTGCACCATCGTCTCAAACAATTAAATGTAAAACTAAAACCAATACCAACTTGGTCACTCAAGTTTTCCCGCGCTTTAAACAGGTTTGTTTTTACTTTGAGTTCTCATTGATTAACGATGATGTTGACCTTTGCATTCTTTTGATTAGTAGATGAGGTAGCTTCGGTTTTGGTTTCTTGGCCCTCAAATGAAAATTGCTCTTATTTTAGATAATGATTAACATAAGGATAAAGCCTCTCATTCCGTTAATTCCAAAGGCTGAACTTAATTCTTGTAAAGTTTCATTTCGTTGCAATGTTAGATCGAATCCGTATGTAAATATTGCCTGAAAACAGCCAGCTCAGCTTTGTAAATAAAGAAACCTGTCCTTGTAAATTATGTCATTTATAATACAATTCTTCCCGTTACATTATATCGTTATAAGCATGAGACCGAGACGGAAAATGTTTTTTTTTTTTGCCTTAATAAAAAGGGGGTGATGTAGACCTGCCTAACAGTCTAGAAAATATATCATGACACCTAAAAGAGCATGCTTTTAAAACCGATTTTGCAGCTCTGCGTTTGGTAACTTTGCTGAGCCGAAAAATTCTGGAATCCTGCGGATCCTAGCGCAAAAATCAGTTTCATTTAGAGATTTTTTGTCATTATTTGATTTATGTCAATTTCATAACAAACAGTTTATCAAAGTTGAATGCAAAAATGGCAAAAAAATAAAAAACTTTTTGGGACCGGATACTACTAGGACTTTTGAAACACGGGCTCCGAAGCCTTTTCGACTCTAAATCAATTTAGTTCAGTATAACTCTGCTACCACTCTAGTATCATCGAAAAGCTGCAATTTGGTCGGCTATGCTACTCGCTATCCACTCCGTGACTGATAGAGGCTAGAGTGAGTAACCTAACAGTGGACGGTTGTGAGCAAAATGAAATGAAAACATAAGACTGTCTTGTTGTTCATCTATGGACGACTGGCAGATTTATGCTAAAGCAACTACATTGTTCCCTCACGATTTCTATGCGTGCTCGGTACTGGAATTGGACTTTGCCCTATCGACTCTCAGTCGTTAAATAAACAAATCGAGAAAGTTTCTCTAACTGAAAAATTACCATACACAAGACAGATTGGGTGTAAAATCCGTCCAGCAGTTCCTTTATTTGGCTAGATGACTTTTTAGTTATATTATTAACAATTTGAAATAAAATTACTGTTTTTAAAAATATTCTACAGTCTGCAGATTTTAAACGAACGTATTTAACATTTTTCAATGTCGTTTTACATCAAGATCAACAACTTCCGGAAATAACCAGCATTCATCTATAGAATGCATCACGTAGGATAGCATTAATTGGAAAGCATTTCACGTATCAAAGTGAACCAAGAATTTCATATTCACAAGATATGTTTACATTGCCAAAATATCAATCTTAAATTCTAAGAAACAACCAATTGTTTTATCTGGGTCAGGTAAAAGTTCTAATAAAACATAAGTGGGAATTTGTTACCAAAATCATATTCTTAAGGTACTGGTTGAAGCAAGTTACTCCAAAAAGACACTCAGGGGGAACGCTACTCAGTTCAATATATACCATTCTTTAACTTAGCTATAGTTGGTACATGAAATTGCGTTCCACAAGACAATTGAATCAAAACACTTGTTTAAACACAAGTCTACCTTCCTGAATTCATTATTGTCACCTTAGACTGTGTCAGTGAAATTGTATGTTAGTGCAGTGCGAATGTCTATTGTAATCTGAAAGGAAAACGATTGATATTTGCCAGCATCACACGAGGCGATTCAGATATTGGGCAATACATTCTCCGTATTTCGCCTGTATTTGCAAGAATGATGAGAAATATTCATTGAGACATGCATGCAAAATAAAATTATCATAATGCACTTGATATATCATTTAATTTAGCGCATCACTCAGCTAAGAGCAATTATTATTATTGTAATTATTTAATTTTATTATAATTATGATTATGATTATTATTATGACAATGATTATTATATAGCTGACAACTTGTTCCGAAGGACGTAGGTTGGACTTCTACTGAGAGCACTCGAAGTTCTTTTCTCTGAGTATACATATGTCATCTACGTCATCTACAGAATTACACCTTCTTTCACTCATTTCACTTTGCCTTTTATACAGTTACGGCATAAGCAGATATTTTATAAAGAAAATCAACACTCTCTTGGATAACCTAGGAGTGCCATTCCTCTTTTATGGTTTTTTTTAAGAGAGCCAACTTCCCTTTCATTCTCATTTTATCCTTATGCATTGGATGTTATTTGATGAGGTAATTTTTACACATAAAGTAAAATTTCCACATAAATGCTATTGTCAAAAGACAGGGTCACCATGAAAAAATTTCAGGAGAGACTTCTGGCAATGCAATTTCATAATAATTGGAGGAACCATATCGCCTTTGGAGAGAATCAGTTTCATCATGTGACTTGACTCAACACCTTTCATCATGGTACCACTCCGTTCTGATGGTGCCGTACAATGCTCCTTTGAAAAGGGAATGCAAAGTTATTCTTATGAACGTTCCCATTCAAGGCTTCAGTTCCTCCTTTATCGGCTTGCTCTTGCTTTAATCGCGTCAAAAGCCGCAACTCCCGTCGATGTTTTGCTTTGAGATTTTCCAGTCTGAGACGGCAGTTTTTATGAAATTCGGTGAGAATCGTCTTCATCGTTTCTTTGCTGTTGTCATATTTGTCCCTAGGTTTTTGTTTGTTCAGAGATTCCAAGTAGTCACTGTATTCTGGTCCCAAAATAAAGGTAAAGTAGCTTAGTATCCTTATGATTATCATTGTCAGCTTAGACTATGTTAAATCATTAAACACTTGTCACGGAGAAATCGTCTATACTGTAAATAATTACCTTAATTCGCAGCAGTGACCACTTTAAAAATGGCCCAATGCATTTGTTTGTTTGTTTGCTTGTTTTTTGTTTTGTTTTTTGTTGTTTCTTTTTTTTAAGTGCAAAATTAGCGAGGCATTGAAATGCAATGGTAATCAATGGGTCTCTCTCTATAAAAAAATGGTTCGGCAAGGGAGACATTATCTATCAAATGCTTATTTCCATTTAATCATAGGCTTACGACCTGAACTGGACAGTTCAATTGCGGGCCAAACGAGTCAGGGACTCAATCGTAAACTCATTCACTCTGACGAAGGGCTAACCCTTGAAACGTCAGCTTAAGAAACTCTTTACGGTGGCCAATTTGCATCATCAACTCACTTGATAGATCTACATTACTCTATAATAGCCTAGCTGACGCCATACCACAATTTTTCTAGAATCTAAATCCTCAACTCAATGAAATTTTAGTATCTTACCGAGTCTCTTCGGAGATGGATTGCGATTCTTTCTGGTGGTTAGCTCATATAGTAGGAAGATAACTGTCAGCACGCCAAAGGCACCTCCACACCACGTCATCGTTTGGATGTACACCACAGACTCTGCGTCAAACAAATTCTCTGTCTTTTCTGCCGTATTGTCTTTCTGAAGTCCCTGAAAATTCAGTAATGTGTTCCTGATTATTCATTCATAAATAGTATATTTTCGCGTGACTTGTGCTTACGGAAAGGTTCGAACGAGGTTCTGACGCACTGAGTGGTGGCTGGGATCGATTAAGTACATCACATATATCTCATTCGATGACTAAGTTGGTTATTTCATGCCATACGAAGCAACAACTTTCCGCTCACTCAATCGTTGATCTGGTGGTGAAACACGCCAATAGTTGACGTTTTTGTTTTCGTGCAGCACTTCACTCCACGATGTGCCCCATCTGTAAACGTTCTGGTGGATTTTTCTTAATGTAACAGCATATGCAAAATTTTTCCTGCGAACGCAATTCTACATATTTGTTACCACGATATTCCCTTTGATATCTCGAAAGAGATCTTTCTCAAATGCGAGAAACTGAGTGTAGTCGTCCTTTAAGGTGAAACAAAGAGAAACAGTGCTTGAAAAGGAAGTATCCTATCTACAAAGAAATGTTGTCTCCACGAGGACAAAAGGTCGTTTTCGAACGTTTCGTTTTGTTTCCTTCCTCTTTGATATCAAGTAACTGGGAAACAGTCATAAAACAAAGAAGGAAAATTCTCGTCATAAAGTACCATAATGATAATTACCGTAACGCCTTGAACATTGTCGGTGATGATTTGAAATACAGACACCCTCTCCTCCCTCAAAAACTCACGAAAGCATTTCTGCAACTTTCTAGCTTGTCCAGCCATTACAACTCCATATGCTGAGGAGTAAGAGATTATCTTGGTCATACGGAGAACTCCATCACTGAACAATTCCTTCCGACTTCCCACAGTGTAG